AGTCGCTGGACGTTTCCCCAATGCAGTCACCTCGTAGAAGGCTATGGCAGGACTCGCTGGCACCAAGGATTGATCAAAGTAGCTGAAGTATAGATGTGGCCCTCTTTTCCTTGCAGTTGTCAGTGGGAGCTCTATCACCATAATCGAGTTCTGTTAAAAGAAAGAAATTCGGATTAATGACTTTTCCTACCTATGTGAGCACTCTGCATTCAGGCTTACCTTTAGGGGTTTCCATCTTAGTGAAACAGCACATGGCTTGGACGCTTACCCTAATGCAGCCAACTCGTAGACACACCATGGAAGGACTCGCTGGCACCAAGGGTTGATCGAAGTAGCTGAAGTGAAGATATGGCCCTCTTCTCCTTGCAGTTGTCAATGGGAGCTCTATCGAGAATCGCCATCATCGAGTTCTGTTAAAAGAAAGAAATTNTGGCTTGGACGCTTCCCCAATGCAGCCACCTCGTAGACAGACCATGGCAGGGCTCGTTGGACGCTTCCCCAGTGCAGCCACCTCGTAGAAGGCTATGGCAGGACTCGCTGGCACCAAGGATTGATCGAAGTAGCTGAAGTGTAGATATGACCCTCTTCTCCTTGCAGTTGTCAGTGGGAGCTCTATCGAGAATCGCCATAATCGAGTTCTGTTAAAAGAAAGAAAAACGGATTAATGACTTTTCCTACCTATGTATGTAATAGGAAACCTGGAATGCATGCAAATATATGCAATGACACTACAACAAGTTGTCCACAACAACAGAAAGCCGATGATGCATCCTGCGAAGATTCCTGAGCGACGATTCCTTGTGGAGAAAAGCGAAGGTTTTAGCCGGCCAGCTTAGAGAAACGTCGAATCCCCCGTCCAGACGACTGCGTGTGCAAGAAACGACATGTCGATGAGCGATGCGTTGACTTGGGACGAAGAAAAGATTCGGTGAAATGTGAGTCGACTCCGGTGTCCTTTTTGCTTGATACGGGGCGCAGTACATAGCATCCTTGTTGCTCCAGATCCGTCTGCGTTGAATGAACGCAATTTCAAAAATTCGCGCTTTTATACCTTCAGTGATATAAAAAGTCACATGGTGGCGTTCTTGGTCAACTTGGTCATAGGGGTCGGCGTTTGATAGTGATGCCCATAATTGATTATAATATCTTTTTAACATACACATTTTATTAACTATTTTTATTTTGATTATTCTGTTTATTATTTTATTTTATAATAAGATTAATTAGCACTAAGCAGTGACTTCGAAATGTGCAGGCAAATTTGATGACAATTTCTGAGCAATATACCTTCTCCCCAAAATTATGATAGGCCCGATGTCCGTTAAACTGGTACAGGTAGCCGCGAACTTCTCGCAGGCCACTATAGAACGTGTGTATTCGAACACTGATCCAAAATGTGGATAATGTAATAGGGACTAGGGTGAGTGCATTTTCGAGGCAGCCTGAGGGAGCATGATTGTTTTGATTGTAGTTAATTGTGGTGAGTCAATTGAAACTACACTGGACTTAGCATATACAGCCACTTCAGTACTCTATTTTGTAATCAACTGAGTTGTTATTCTTTAAAATGAAAAACAAGTTATTGTGATTTTACGAAACGAAAGAAAGCAGCAGTAGGTCACTCGAAAAATCTTGATTAATTTATACCAGGCAGCAGAAACAATTAAATGAATTAACAACGTACGCCTCCATTCAAATGTGCCAGCAAAATAATTGTGCATCTCGTAACCCCTTAAGAGCAGTCTAATTTTTGTTAGTATGAATAAAGCGCGAATATTAACCAAAATGGTTGTTTTTTAAACCTTCTTTACTGAATATGAAACTTTTACCATACCAGCAAGGCATGAATCGGAAAATGTTTGCATTATTATGCAAAAAGCTAGTTTTATCACTTCCCAGCGGGCAAATCAACATTGAATCAATGTTGAATCAACGTTGATGGTCAACGTTGAAACTATGTTGATTTGACGTTGACTATGAAAGTTGACTCAACGTTGAACCATCAACTATGTTGATTTGACGTTGACTATGAAAGTTGACTCAACGTTGAACCATCAAGGTTGAATCAACCTTGANGGGAGCTCTATCGCCATGGCAGGACTCGCTGGCACCAAGGGTTGATCGAAGTAGCTGAAGTGTAGATATGGCCCTCTTCTCCTTGCAGTGGGAGCTCTATCGCCATAATCGAGTTCTGTTAAAAGAAAAAAATTTGGATAAATGGCTTTTCCTACCTATGTGAGCACTCTGCATTCAGGCTTACCTTTCAGGCTTACCTTTTTCCAACTTAGTGAAATACCACATAGCTTGGACGCTTACCCCAATGCAGCCAACTCGTAGACACACCATGGCAGGACTCGCTGGCACCACAGAAGTAGAGAAAACTTCTATGCTGGCACCAAGGGTTGATCGAAGTAGCTGAAGTGTAGATATGGCCCTCCTCTCCTTGCAGTTGTCAGTGGGAGCTCTATCGAGAATCGCCATAATCGAGTTCTGTTAAAAGAAAGAAAAGCGGATTAATGACTTTTCCTACCTATGTATGTAATAGGAAGCCTGGAATGCATGCAAATATATGCAATGACACTACAATAATAGAAGTCCACAACAACAGAAAGCCGATGATGCATCCTGCGAAGATTCCTGAGCGACGATTCCTTGTGGAGAAAAGCGAAGGTTTTAGCCGGCCAGCTTAGAGAAACGTCGAATCCATCGTCCCGACGACTGCGTGTGCAAGAAACGACATGTCGATGAGCGATGCGTTGACTTGGGACGAAGAAAAGATTCGGTGAAATGTGAGTCGACTCCGGTGTCCTTTTTTCTTGATACGGGGCGCAGTGCATGGCATCCTTCTTGTTGCTCCAGATCTGTCTGCGTTGAATGAACGCAATTTCAAAAATTCGCGCTTTTATACCTTCAGTGATATAAAAAGTCACATGGTGGCGTTCTTGGTCAACTTGTTCATAGGGGTCGGCGTTTGATAGTGATGCCCATAATTGATTATAATATCTTTTTAACATACACATTTTATTAACTATTTTTATTTTGATTATGCTGTTTATTATTTTATTTTATAATAAGAGTAATAAGCACTAAGCAGTGACTTCGAAATGTACAGTTAAATTTGATGACAATTTCTGAGCAATATACCTTCTCCCCAAAATTATGATAGGCCCGATGTCCGTTAAACTGGTACAGGTAGCCGCGAACTTCTCGCAGGCCACTACAGATTGTGTGTATTCGAACACTGATCCAAAATGTGGATAATGTAATAGGGCGTAGGGTGACTGCATTTTCGAGGCAGCCTGAGGGAGCATGATTGTTTTGATTGTAGTGAATTGTAGTGAGTCAATTGAAACTACACTGGACTTAGCATATACAGCCACTTCAGTACTCTAAAACATATTTTATAATCAACTGAGTTGTTATTCTTTAAAATAAAAAACCAGTTATTGTGATTTTACGAAACGAAAGAAAGCAGCAGTAGGTCACACGAAAAATCTTGATTAATTTATACCAGGCAGCAGAAACAATTAAATGTATATATTAACAATGGACGCCTCCATTCAAATGTGCCAGCAAAATAATTGTGCATCTCGTAACCCCTTAAGAGCAGTCTAATTTTTGTTAGTATGAATTACGCGCGAATATTAACCAAAATGGTTGTTTTTTAAACCTTCTTTACTGAATATGAAACTTTTACCATATCAGCAAGGCATGAATCGGAAAATGTTTGCATTATTATGCAAAAAGCTAGATTTATCACTTTCTGTCTGGTTTAGAAACAGTAGAATACGCGACCCCCTCCTTCTCGCTACTCGACACTCCAGGTAGAAAAACGTTTTAAAAAAAATCACACTGCTATTCTCTCTTGGAATTGAAATTTTGACTAGTTGATTTATAGTTCTTAACCTTTCCAAATGGCACTGTTTGACCTCCAAAACACTCCAAGGGGCCCGAGGGTCGGCTTGGCATCCGAGGGCTGTCATTCCTGAAAAGTCGGACCCCTCCCCCTTCAAATCCGCCCCTGAGAAAGGCACTATTTTACGTCAGGACCTCGTTTTACTAAAGAACAACTTTAACCTTCGGGTTGGAATTTAACTGAATGAACTCAATTATCCTTATAAAGAACTTTATAATATAAAACAACTTTAACCCCAATTTATCCTCGACACTTTCATATCGAAATGAGTTCGATTTTAGTGTAAAATAAATCCATACTAGTTTGCTTCATTAAAGTAAGAAGGCCCTAATGGTCTAAGGGTTGTTATTTCCAAATTAAAAGTTGCGTTATTCTTTTGTGAACAGATTTTTTTCAGTGATCTTGAAGTAATATTATTATAATCGTGGCATTTTCCATCATTCGGTTAGCAATATAACCGCCTTTTCTTGCGAATTTTAACAGGACTGGGATTAAAATCACAGGTAGCCGCGAACTTCTCGCAGGCCACTATAGAACGTGTGTATTCGAACATATATTATTATAATCGTGGCATTTTCCATCATTCGGTTAGCAGTATAACCGCCTTTTCTTGCGAATTTTAACAGGACTGGGATTAAAATCACTCTGAATTATTTTATTTTTTAATTTGAATTGTCCAATTCTAAATTCCCAGAAAAATGTTCTGTCTCTCTCCTGCAAATGGATTTTTTTCAACAAAATGAAATTCATTATTTATCAAAAGCCAGTTCTCAGTTTTACTATCTATTATACTAGAAACATATTGTGACGTCACAGTAATATCCAAGATATGACGTACCGTCAGGAAACGTAAACATTCAGTTGAGGACTGAGATCGACAACGTCAAGACGTGTATTTTCGTATCTCCTCAATATTTTTCAAAATCGGTTAAACTGTATTTAAAATTTCCAAATGCCCGTACTGTGTGAGCCTTTTAACACAGCTTGGCGAAGAACGCGCGAAAGATTCAGCCATGCAAGCCAATTTATTAGGCAGCGGCTAAGAAGGAGAAGAGTTAATCCAAACTCTCGAGCTCCCTCTCCTATGCCTGCCGCCCCACCTCCCAGCCCGACTCCAGCAGGAAAGGTAAAGAAGCCTGGGTTTTGTTTTCGTTAAAATTTACGTGTATTTTTATGTTTTGCCGTTTGAACCATATTTTCGTTATTTTGTAGATATTGTTTTTTAAATCTTAGGCCAACTTGCAGCTCTTCATCCGCTCCCCCCACCACCAATTATCTTGCAACTCTACTGTTCCGTACTATTTACTTGTTTCCATACCCTAATTAGACATTGTTTTAGATAATCATATTTGTTCCAGTGTTGCATTTTTGTGAAGATCATTCAACGTTTTTTGTCTTTGTTTTTTCATTCGTTGTTTTTAAAATAGGCCTATGTATGTGCACATATAGGCCTAGGGACCCTGTAGGCGTAGGCCTTTATATTAGCTAGATATAAGCGCCAAGGCTGTAGCTAGCCAGCAAAACGATGATCATTTTATATCCCAATGACAAATCATAGAACCATAAAGTATTATTTCGCGTTCTTGTGGTGAAAATTTTTTGTAAGCCAGGAGGGGA